TTAATCTAATACTTTATAAAAGAAGAAGTAAGAGAAGGAATTATAATAGATAAATACGAAGAATATTACGAAGAAATTAAGTGGTAATAAGACTATTATCGTTAAGAATACGACTTAGCTCTTTAAGATCTTACGTTATATACTCTTTATAATTCTATATTAAATTATTACTTAATAAGCGAAGAATATTACTATAACTTAATTTATTATTCTTACTATATTAATATAATATATTACTACGATCTCTATAGAAGAAATATCGAATAATATATATTTAGACGAATTAAAATCGTTCGATATTTATAGCTATTTTATTATTCGAAAGATTTTACTACGATAGAAGATATTATGAAATTCACATTACTAACTAATACGTTATCTTTATTTCTTTTCGATATTTCGATACTTCTTACTATAAGAATATAGCCTTTCTCTATTTTTTATAAACAATTATTACGGATTAATTCTCTATACTTAATATATCTTTCTAATTAAATCTTAGCGTACCTCTCTTCGTATATATATATCTATATATTATATAGATTAAATTAATTTTATAGTAATAAAAGTAGATTAAAAACGTATAGTAAGCGATTAGAGTTCGATTTAACTTAGAGCTAGGGCTAAAATTCGATTTAACTTAGAAAAATTTAACTCTATAAATTTAATTCATAGGTCTTTACTTATAAGCTTATTATATAATATAATATAAATTAAATTATTTCTAAATAACTTATTAGATAATAGATTAATAAGATATTTAATTTAATTATACGTATTAAGATTATTAAATAGCTATTCTAAAAAAACTTTTAATAAATTATTTAAATTATTTAAATTATTTAAATATATTAGAGTTATTTAGCTATATAATATTATATTATATAATTTTATTATAATTATTCTTATTACTTTTAAATAGAATCTAATATAAAAATATAATAAATACTTATTTTAGATTATATATAATTACTATATTAATTAATAATATAAACTATTTCATATTTACTATTATAATATCTATTTATATTTTATTATTTATAAAAAAATCGCGATAGATTTAAAACTATTTATATTAATTAATATTTAAATTAATATTATAGATTTAAGAAAAATTAAAAATAAGATTATATTCTTATATATTTATAGTATATATCTTTAAGATTTACTCTTACTTTTTTTTAACTATTTATAAAATTAAAAATTAGATTATACTTCTTATATAAGAATATTTAATAATTATTAATAATATATATTATTATTAACGTATATTTAAATTTAGAAATTTACGTCTCTTTAATAAAAGATTATAATATAAAAATTTTATTATTATTAATATCTATTAAGATAATTATCTTACGCTTCTTATTTAATATAATAATTTTATCTCTTAATAATAGAGAGCGAGATTATCGCTTAATTAATAGTGTAATTAATATTATAATAATAAATATTAAACTTTATCTTTTTTCTTATTAAAGTTATAATTATATACTTTATTATTTATAATATAATTTAAGTTTTTTAAAAGAAACTATAATATCTTAATTATTTATAATTATAATATTATATTTTAATAAGAGATATCTTAAATTTAATATAATAGTTACTATCTTTAAATTTAATTTATATAAATTTTTAATTTTATAATATTAAAGAGAATAAACCTTTTTTTAATCTTATTAGCTCTTTATATATTATATCTTAAACTTTATATAATACTAATTACTACTTCTCTAATTACTTATCTTATTACTAAAGCGAGTTTTATTTAAAATAAAAAACTCTTTTATTTTTTATAATCTTTATTTTATATTTTAATATTATTATAATAATATAATATAAATAATAAATTAAATAATCTTCTTTATTACTATTAGAGAAATTTTCTCTTATCCTCTATTTTATAAAGCTTTTATATATTTTAAATTAATTATATAGCGATCTCGCTATAATTAGAATATAATAAGATAATTATTAAAGCTAGCTATTAATTATATATCTCTTATAATTACTTTAATTAATTAATAATTTATATTATAAGATTTAATAACTAAATTATAAATTTAATTTAAATATTATTCTTAATATTTCGTCTAGATAGATTTCTTAATATCGCGTAATATTATATCTCTAATATTTCTTTAAATTTACTTTTTAATATTTATTAAGAGAGTAGAAAATTAATTAATTTTTTCTTTATTTATATAAAAATTAATATAAAATATCGAGATAATAAAATTATTATAGTTTTAAAGAAATATAATTATTAAGCTATAATTATTAAAATACTATATATTAGATACTTTAATAATACTTATTTTCTTATAACTCGAATTATAATAGTAATTATTACTATATTTATAATAATATTTTTATATATTCTATATTTTAATTAGCTTAAATTTTTTAATAATTAATTATTTTTTAATATTAAACTTTAAAAGTTAATAGTATTAAATTTAAATTAAATTTATAAGATAAGAGTTTTTATTTATATCTAAAGAATTATTAAATATAACGCTTTAATAATTATTATTTTTATTAATAATATTATTAGAATTCTTATTAATATTATAATTAATATTATAATCGCTTAATTATATAATAAGTATATTTTAATAAAACTACTTATTAAGTTAGAAATATCGCTAATAAATTATAATAAGATATTTTTACTTTATAAATTAATAGAATCGACTCGCGAGTTACTTATTATAATTAAATTAGATAACTCTATATAAACGAAGTTATTAGAATTATAAAATAATAAGATTTCTTTTAATAGAATTATATAGTAGTTATATAATTATAAGATTTAAATATATAATTAATAGAATAAATATATTAGTTATTAGATAAACTAATAATAAAAAAAAAAGAGAAAATTCGCGAGTATTTAAGATTTCTATTAAGTATATTAAATACTCGCTCTAGCTACGTAGCTTATAAGCTAGTAAGCGATATAAGCGAAATCTATTAATAGACTCTAAGTACTTTTATTCTTATACTTATTATTCTTAATATTTTAAATAAAAGTATATATAAATAATTAATTAATTAATACTCTTATATTATAATTTACTTTAAAATTATAATAAAATTCGCTATCTTTTTTATTTAATCAAGTAGTCTATAACTTATATAAAGCTTTTCTTTAGTAATATTATAAATTTATAGATATATATAAGTAAAGAATATCTATATAAAGTATAGTTTTTAATAGTAGTTATTTGAATCTACGTCACCTCATCCTCAATATGTGTAATCCCAGGTTTCCAATCTGCGAAGAACATCTGGTGAGCTCTTCCATAACGAGCTTTTTCGTCAAGAGCTCGTTAATGCCCGCGATTGCATGTGAAGTCTGCTCCATCGGTTTCGCATGCTGTAACTCGAAACCTCGACCGAATTTTGTGACTAGCCGTCGTTGGCATTTCGTGCGTGTCAGCGCGTGTGTACTGTTGTATTGTAGCAGGCTTATCGCCCCCGATTCTCATCCATAGCCAACAAGCCGGTGACCTCACGGCGTCATGTGTGGACGCTAATTTTGTCGATGGAATCAAGTTTTGATATGTCAAGAGTTCGCGGGCCCTCTCTGGAAATTGTGATCCGAGATCGAAGACCACTGCTCAGTGGTCTTCGTTGGTAGTAAATTTTAGACTCTGGCAGCACAGACGTAGAGCCATCAAGATCATGCCCTTGACGCTTAGTCCGTAGCTGGCTCGCTAGTTGTATGAGGCCAAAAAAGTGCTGACAGCTTTTGTTGAAGTAGTAGTTGACGATCTCGTCGATTTCGATCAATTCGATCAAGCGAGTGGATTCGTCCAAGGATCAGGAACTGCCTATGATAACGTAGCCATCTCTATGAGCACCCCTAGATCATTCTGAAATGATAGTGTTAGCGAAAGTTCGGATGCATCTCTGAGAGCCACATTGAAATTTCCAGGACAAGCGGAACTTCTTCTAGTGACTTTTGGCAAATGCACGGGATCAAGATCCTGAAATAGACTCATAGTAGCTTTCTCGGTACACCATCCAACCGGCTAGGAACTAGATGCGCTGTCTGCATGTTGAGAAAAGCTTGTGAAGCAAGGTCAAAAGAGTAACTCCAAGTATCAATTGAGTGTGATTTCGATTCTAATCAAGGTCCAAAACAACCCCTGTGGACGATGCATGCACACGTATATGTTCAGAAGGCACGATTGTAGTAACTGAAATATGTGAATTTGGAGATGCATCTCAGGAGAGAGGAACATAACAATGTCATGCGAGAAAGAGGGTTTTGGCGACGGCGTGAATGTGTATTCATTTTGTTTTCGTAGGTGAATAGAAGCCGACCCTGGAGAACTCGAGGCCAGGTTTAGAGAAGGTTTCATGTCGGGTGAGAACGTAGCATAACTGGCTGCGCACGTGCGTGACCAGCAGGCGCACTGCCAGGAAAACTAGCATCTTTTGGGAGGAAAATCGATAGAACTTTGAGTTTTTGGGCATGAGAAGCCAAGTTCTCGTCCGTGAAACAGTCTGGTTGGAGGGTTTCCACGACTCGTAATGTTACCGGCTTAATACCCCAAATGGACTGAGACTCGGCACAGGAAATTGACACTTCATCTGAGGGATTACCTACCATTCGAGCCTCGTTCTAGGTGTAACCTTTTCGAGTACATTGCCAATGCGTGATCGCATTTAAAAAAAACCCCTAGTGCTTAGCTGGATGCTAAACTGTTCGTCCTCGAAGGTGGCCTCCCAGCAATCCAAAGATTAAGCATGACATACTCCTCCTTACCACTATCCTCCTTTTCCTCTGTTTTTCCATTTTTCTCCAGTTCCTGCTGAATTTTATGCAGGAACATAAACCCACACTTCTGCAACACATTCTGGCTACCTACCGCCTCTGGCCACGTAACCGCGTTCAGATATTCCCTCTCCACATGGCCTCCTGGATACGCTATCCAATACCACTCCATCCATGCTTTCAAAGCTTCAGTCGCGTAGCCCTTCCCCTAATACTCAGGTAGGAACATGTAGCCGATCTCTGGGACGCGGTGGGCACCCATGACGCCGATGATATGATTCTCTCTATGCTTCTTATCCGCACTGTTGGGCTCGTTTCCCTCATCCTGCGTCAATTTCTGCTCTTTTGCTTCCACCTTCTCGCCCTCACTCTGGGAAGAGACCCGCAGCTCAACACAATGACTCACACACTTACCACCCTCCATCACTCGCTCCAGAAACGCATCAAATTCCGCCCCTGTCTCTGCCTTTCTGTGTGCAAGGCATGCAGCGACGACTTGGGGATTGAAGCGTAAGAAGCGAATCGCGTCTCTATCGGTAGGACGTAGAGGACGGAGAACGAGGCGATCTGTGATGATGATATTGAGATTGGATAGCTCGGTCATGGTGGTATCACTTGGAGCCGGTATTGGGCGAATGCCATTTTTGGAGGTTGTTGAAGTGCTGGAGAATGGGGAAGAACACAGCCATTGCGAAAATCTGTCAATATCGTGGGAAGAAGAATGCTGAAGTGTGAGTCGATGGCGGGGTGCAGGCGGACAAACAAGACTGAATCAGCAGCCCAAACGCCAAACCTCTTTTGTTGGCCAACAAGCGAATTGTCGGCCTCGGTTCCTTAGGAAGATAGTTTTTCGGCAGCTTGCCTGCTACTTGTACCAGAACAGTGGTCTGGATGTCATATCGATAAGGGACTGGATAGGCAGTGCGCCGCGATGGCAACAGAAGGTAGGGGGAATAAATCTATCGAGGTAGCAGGAACCGGGTCTAGATCTCGGTCTTGCCCAAGGAATCCGCCAGAGCATCCACATCATCATCCTTCTTCTGGCTGACTTTCTGGGCCTCTTCTTGGTCCGCATCCTTCAAGATACCTTCCCTCTTGTGCTCCGCTTCCTCTTGCTCCTCTCTTTCTGCTTCGTCGTCGTCGTCCTCATCTTCATCTTCATCTTCCTCATCGCTCTCCTCCTCCAGATCGCTCAATTCATCCAATCCCCATTCCCCCTCTGCGTCGCCTGCCTTCTCCTTCCGCTCCTCCAACAGCAGTCTCAACCCTTCCACAGGCTCATCGTCCTCGGAAAACTTGTTTCCATTCAGCTCCACCCTCCTCAACTTCACCAGCTTATCGTTCACCGCGACTAGCAGGGCCTTCACCCCCTTGGAGTCAATCTCATTGTACTGCAACCTCAATACCTCCAGCAGCCCATTGTTTCCCTTGCCTAGGGCCTCAGCGAACAAAACGGCACCTCTGCTGCCTAATAGGGAGTCGCCAATCCCCAGCTCTCTGATCTGCTTCCATCCCTCAACAACTTGACTTAATGACCTGGCTCCGGTAATCGTAAAAGTATTATCTTGCAAATCCAGTACTACAAGCTCTTGGCACCAAACCAATCCTTCTGTCAATAATAGGCTGATCCCATCCTGGCGAATGCCGTTTTGCACCATCTTGACCATCTTGACCTTCCGGTGCGCTCGGTATGCTTTAGCCCACGCAGACATCGAGCCACTTTCGAGCCGATTGCGGCCGCATATTACCGTCTCTAAGTCTGGTACCGCCTTTCCAGACTTTCTGGCCTCTTCTTTGCGCTCGGCGAGGGCGATCAAGGCGTGGGCGATCAGTGTACCCGCGTTGGGACCCAGACCGTTGTTCTGCAATATGAGATGTTGCAGGGGCACATGTCTCGACAGAAAGTCTACAAGTGGTTCCACCGTGTTCAGGCCGAAAGCATTATCAGAAAGATCGACGGTATGTAGGTTCGGCAACTCAAGGAGGGCCGTGAGGAGGGACGAGAGCGCTGGGGGGATTTCAGAGAGCAGGCGCGATGTGAATATGTCGTCTAGCTTGGCCTTTTGGAGCGTTATCTTCGTTTTGAGCACTGAGGCGAGAGTCTCGCAGGCTGGAGCGCCGAGTGTGTTGCCGCCAAGGTGGATTTCTGTGACTGTATTCGAGGCGATCAAGGGTTTGAGGTGGGGCTCGATGTGCTCGGCAGTGTCGAGCTTAAGGGACTGGCCCGAGAGGGAGAAGATGTTGTTGGAAGAAGACATTGTATCAAAGAGTAGCAGTCTATGTTGCGGTGATACGAAAGGCTTCTGGCGTTTTTCGTCTTCTGGTTCTAATCTTGTGCGAGGTCGAGGCATCTCCCTTGAGTATTCAGATAAATAGCCGGAGAAAAGCCGTGATTTTCAGCCCTATCAAAGTTCGCCGCTTGTTCATGGCGGACACGGCGAGTAAATACGGTGTATCAAAACCGCAGAGGGTTGAACTAGAAATCTTTGTGTTAACATAAGCACAGAGGTAAGAATCTTCAAGGTAGTTATTCGACGAACAAATGGGTATCTATCGCTCTTTCTAAGATAACGCTGCGAATGCCATGCTTGTACGCCGACTAACCCAAATCTACACGCGCTCTTCACAAGGTCTTCACTCCTACAAGGCACTGAGCACACTCTGCACCCCCACACTCCCAGCATCCTCCCTCCTCAGCACGTATGGCCGCATATCTCCTCTTTCCCACGCCCCACCACCACCTCCACCTACTCCTGCACCACCTTTCCCCCTCAACCTCTCCTTTAGCGCCTCCGGCCCTATCACGAAAAGGTTCCCAATCTCGGTCAATACTTCAAAACTCGGCTCAAAGCTGGGGTCCAGCTCCCAAGTTTTTAGTAACTCGATATATTTGCTAATGTCTTTCGTGACCACGATACCGCCGGCTGCATTCACGGAGAATTTTTTGAAGTGCTCGAGGAGCAGGGTGCGGAATGTGGTGGCGAGTTCGGTGAGGAAGGCGATGAGGTTGGGTGAAGGGGAGAGGGCTGTTAAGGCGAGGCTGTAGATGCGGGTTAGGAATTGGAAGATGGACAGGCAGGTCTAATGATTGTATTAGCGCTGGGATAGGGGATCACATGCTCGAGATCGGACGCACCGGCGTCTGAAGCTGCTCGAGCCATGCGCCTCCTCCGCCTAAAGCATCATCTCGAGGCCGGAAATCGGTCTTGTTTTGACGAGCGAGCAGTTTTGTAACCCATGTGATGACAACGTCAATGGATCTTTGCATGATACTGTTGACTTTCTCTTCCACTCTGTCTAAGGCAAGATTGGCGGTCTTCTCCATGTCGCGTCGTATCATTACGTTGGCAGAGGCCAGTGGGATGAGCACAGCCCTGATGCAGGTATTCATTAGATTCATAATACCGATAGCTGGGCGCAGGCCGATCAGGTATGATAGATCCGGCTCGTTCTTGGCTGTCTCCTGGCTGGCGGCGATGTCATTTGCGCTGGCATGTTGTTAGACCAATGAGCGTACTAGGTGTAGACGTAGCACTTACGAGTCCAATGCCGTCTCGAGATATATTTCGCCCATGTTTCCCAGTAAGAGATGGAGGAGAGCGAAAACATCTTTTGGGGTCTCATTGCCTCCACTGAGCTCCAAACCTCGTCCTACGGCTTCGGCAAGCCATTTCAGCATACGCTTAGCATTGTCGATACTCAAAACACCGTCTTGTTCTGTAACTTCAATCTCCGTCTGTGTTTTCGCGCTCTCCGAGTCTTTCAAGCCTGCCACTCTGAGAAGCATGGCCTTTTGTGCTGGAGCCAAATCTGATGAGTCTAAACGCTCCACGTACGCATCCCGAGCAGATGCTAACATTTCACTGCCTGATTTGGCTAAAGACTTCATGAACGTGGTGGGTATCTTGCGCCTTCGAGACTGTACCATTATCAGCGAGAAGTCTCGGTATCAGAACGATAGGAAGGTCTTACGTGAAAGATAGTAAATCTGAACAATAGCGACGAATACAACTCCTCCAAACTCCTCTTTTCACGCTCTATGTATGACGAACCAACAAAATATGGTACAAATAAGTCGTCAAATTGTTGATCGAGAATGATTGCAATTTGCGGCGAAGCTGGTTCTGGATGCTCAGTAAGGCCGTGGGCTTTTAGGTCGTCTATCAAGGTACTGATATAGGCCCTAGCCGCTTGCAAGGATCTCAGAAAAGCAAGCGAAGAAATAGTGCTGGCCTTTTCGAGGACCATCTCGAGCCTCTGCTGTACAGATTGCTGGAAGATGCGTTGTAGGAACTTTCCCAGCACTTGGTCGGAGTAAGGAAATGCTCTCCTGATGATGATCGATTCCTCTTGCATGACAACCTTGACTTCGTCGATCAACGACTGAAGAGTGGGCTCAACGCTAGGAGGCTCAGCATCTGGATCTGCCAATCGATCCCAAGTCTCAGCATCTCCAGCAACTTCGTCCGTGATGAGCTGGTTCCGTTGGATGAAGAAATCGTGCTGATTGACGAAAGCTGCAATGACGCTTGCACCATCGTTGAAGTCGTGAAGAACGTTGGCACACTCTCGCATCCCCTCGAAATTTTCCCTTCGGTAGAAGTCGTCGAAAGACTTGAGCAGATCCTTTTCCAGCGTTTCAGAGAACTTCTCAATTAGCTCTCTGGTGTTGTGATGCCGCCTTTTTCGATCGTAGTCCTTTCCGTAGGTACCATTGACGCCATTGACCTCTTTTGCATTGCCGTTGACATGGGTCCAATTCTCAGGCTCAAGTCGTTGACTGATTCTCATCAATTGTCGGGCAATACGTGCGCATCGAACCTTGCCCTCCCCGCTGCCTTGCCGCCTGATGTCTTCCAGCAATATCAGCTCGCCACGCTCGCTGACTTCCATCCAGCATTGGATCAGAAACTTCGCATCCAGCGCCCTCTGCCGTTGCCTGTCAAGATCTTCAAGCTTTTCACCAATCTTCACCACCTCATTGCCTCCATTATCATACTGGTCCCCATTGAGAGATGCATCAAGAAGGTTGAACGAGTTGACAGTCTGTTCAAGCCTTCGGCTTAAAGTTTGGACATTGGTATTATGCTGTGCTTCTGCTCGTCGTACTGCCCCCGACAGTTCATTTTCCTTTGATTCCAAGTCTCCGGAGAGATCGCCCATTCGGTTGAGGGCATGCTCGAAGCTGCGTATGAGGGGCTTTGGGTCGAATGCATTGCTTTGATGCGCTGGACCGGATCTGCGATTGGGAGGAACGGCGCTGTCGGAAAGAGCTTCCACAAAGTCTTTGACAATGAAGTCACGATCTGAGAAGGTATCAAGGGTGAAGATGGGTGCCTGGGGAAATACTGATCTAGCGGAGTAAGTCGAAGGGGGGTGAGAATTTGAGATTTGGCTTGAGGTGGCTGGCATTCTGCTATTAAGAAAGAGCTGGTGACGAAGCAATCACTATCATTAGCAGACAGACTGTGACCTCCACACGAGTAGCATCATAGTTCGAGTTGTGGTGCACTGTTGGAGCTGATCGAAGAGTAGGAGCTTGGCAGTGGATTGCCGCGTGCGGAATTTCGCCGCACCTGACTTATAGGCACAGCTACTCTTTGACAGCACCATTAAGATGCTCTGTATACTACGATTGCTCATCCTGTTAGTATCAACCACGGTGCCTGACAGCTGACTCCAGTGTGCCTCGTAGCACCACTTCTTCTGGGAAGCGGATATACTGTCTCGCTCGCCTTTTTCTCACCTGTCCCTTATTTGAAGATGGTCGCTTCTCGAGAGACAAAGATATATCGGCAAGATGCTCGAAGCAAAGGCAGCTTCCTCTCTCCCGAGCAGAGGGAGGATCTGCTCAACCCTTACCTTCCAGCGCCTCCTTTGAGCAGGACTCCAGCTCCAGCTCTTCGAAAACGAAGGTCGCAGCCTGTCAAGACTTTCCTAAAACAACAATTGCATCTGCTCGTCTTCATAATAATACATACGCTATTCTCGGTCTACATCCGGATACGGCAGACCTATCATATCCTTCTCGATCGCGTCTTTGCCATTCTTTACTACCATCATAGAGCGCCAGAGCTTATCCGGCAAGACGTGAAGAATCTCAGCAGGATACCGGGGCATCTGAGTGTGATTCTAGAATTGAAAGGAGAGGAGAGGGGCACTGCGGCCTTGGGGGCTTTGATGGATGAGGTGGCAGAGATATCGGCATGGTGTTCTTGCGTGGGGATACCGATGCTCAGCGTATATGAAAGGACCGGTATGATCCATCGTCTTGAAGAGATATGGCGATGCTGATCTGACGAAGGTATCTTGAAGGCCTACATTCCAACAACTCATCGGACTGTCACCAAGAAACTGCACAATTACTTTGGACGTTATATACCATCTCTCCAGGTTCGAGCGCCTCACGTACCCTCTTATCTGAATGGTGGCAGCTCTGAAGAGGGTGGTGTGTCTATTTTATCAGGTACGTCAACCTTATTATGCATTATTCCGCATAAGGGGCTGATGACGGAGCCTAGGCCATCTCTCGATACTCCTCCTTTCCGCCGAAGATGGTCGCTCAACTCTTGTAGACTTGACCAAGACCCTGGCAGAGATGTCGCAGCGGAAGAAGTTGTGCCCAACTGACATATCCTTGGACTTGGTAGATGCGGAGATCACGGAAAGTGTCATGGGGGAGCCGGATCTACTTGTGCTTTTTGGACCAAGCGTGGAACTGCAGGGCTATCCCCCTTGGCAAGTTCGATTGACCGAGGTTTACCACATGCAAGATAACACTGGGGTTGGGTATCAGGTCTTTTTGAGAGCTTTGCATAACTACGCGAAAGCGTCTATGAGGCTTGGAAGGTAAAGCAAGAAGAAATGAGTCAAATACAGGTTTCAAATGGAACCTGGGAAGTCCACCGAAGTCCACCGTTGGAAGCTCAATGCGAGAGAAAGTCGAGACTGGCATATTTGATTTTCGAACGCCTCCATAATGCAAGAAAAGGACTGTGGGGAGGGTCATCAATGGCACCTACACCTGCATGTGCTTTTCGGGGAAAAGCTCTCGAAGTAAGACTCCAAGCTTTCATACTTCTCGTGTGAGCCGTTGTAAGAATCAGGACCTGATTTTAGAATTGGCAGTATGCAGTGCGGATCTTAAATAGTCGAGATCGAGCCAATGGCAGTCTTTCAGCCGCTGCCGTGTAAATTCGTCACTTCGACGTGACACTGCAATTTCGAGCAACAGCACTTCTCTCACATGTTCACATCCACACATCCCACAACCAATTCGTGTGAACTGAGTAACTCTCTTTTTCCCTTAAACATCGTCACGCCATGGGTGTTTTCAATTCCAAGCAAGTCAGACCGAAGCACACGAAGCGGGACGGTACCCCGACATCTCCTCAAGGAGCAGTGTGCCCTCCTGGAACCTTATGGTACGACGAGACTTGTGCCGACCCCAATCAGGAATCACATGGCTGCTTTGTAGCTGATCCTTGCGAGGGTCTAACAGTCGCGGCCGCGTCCACATCAGGTGAGCGACGCTTCTCTTTCGAACCTCGCCCACCAGGCCTTGCGTGTCTGATTGTGCAAAGGAGTGCCAGTCAAGTACACGAAGCGCGCCTCTGAAACCGAAAATTGTGCTCCTCAATCATTCTACAACACTACTTGCGGCTTGCCCGGCTACTTCTTCTATGGCTGCTTTGGTCCGGATCCTTGCTCCAGTGCCTCGTCGGAGGCAGCCGCTGCATCCACATCTGGTGAGTAGCGCTCTTCTTTTAAACCCTATCGGCCAGGCCATACGTCTCTTAATCACTCAAGTACACGAAGAGGGCCGCTCAACCAGCATGTCCTCCTGAATACTCATTTTAAAAACTTGTTTGCGATGAGACAGGCTACTTCGAGGGCTAATCTACTAAGCATCTTGCGACCATAGTAATAATGATGATATCTTATCATTTGTACAGACTCTAGGCACACGCGAACTGACAATGAATCTTTTCTCAGCTGCTGCTATATCCTCAGCCTCTGCTGCTGCTGCTACGTCGACTCAGACCAGCACAAAGACCAGTACGGCTCATACCAAGACAACTTCTTCAACCTCTTCAATCTCCTCAACCTCCTTAACTTCCTCAACTTCCTCAACTTCCTCAACTCCCTCAACTCCCTCAACTTCTTCCAGAAATCTACGCTCTTCTTCGAGTTTCCCCCCAGCTTCCAGTCAAACAAGTTCAACAGTTTCTTCCAGCAAAGCAAGTTCAACGCCTCCTCCTACATCCGCTCATACAGCAATTCCTATCGCAGCTACCTCATCAGCACCAGTTGCGACGGTGCATTCTTCCTCGTCTTCGCACTCAAACACGGCAGCAGTCGCTGCTGGAACCGTTGGAGCTATCATTGGGGCCATCATTGCATTGATATTGATGTTGCTCGTACTCAGATGGCATAAGAGACGCACAGAGGACAAAGTACGGGTGACTGAGCAGGACAATGATCTGCGATTGCAAGGAGTTGATGCGAGTGGCGCAGGGAATGCTTTCCAAGATAAAGATGGTAGTGGTAAGTCATGGGATTCTGCCCAAGTTACCCCCTTCCAACCAAGCTATCCCAACAAGGTGCCTCTAAGCGGTACCTCCCTGACCGCATGATCATCCCTCTGCCCGTGACCAGCGTTATTTCGGGCACTTCTATGGATGTTCCTAGCGGTTAGTTGCAGTGGACCTTGCATATAGGCTAATCGCTCTGCACAGAAACCGCTCCTGCATCCAGAGACGCTGACCATAATTCTTTGTGGTACCCTGGGACGAACAATGCAGGCGATGACGGACATGCTGCATACAAGCGAAGCGATCCGTGTTCACCCTCGCGGCCCTGGTCACCCATCCAGCCAGGCCCCGAAATGCTGGGTTCAACGCCCGACCCAATCGGGAAGCAACCTGAGCTAGAGGTACCTGCATTCCACATCCCAGCCGAGCTTCCGCTCAACGCCGAGCGCTCTTCGATTAACACTCCCCGGCAAACACCCAGTCCCTCCAGAGTGAACAGTAGTGGCCAGGGCGGCCTTCGCCAAACAGCGGATGGATCAGTGATGCATCCAAATCTGGATGGAGGCCATGGTGGTAAGAAGACCGGGGAGAGTCATGTTATGAGCTGGATGAGCTACGATGGCGATGGATCAAGTCCTGTACAGTAGAAGGAGACAAGCAACGTTGGGAACCCGTTTCAAGATCAACAGCACAGCATCGCCAATTCGCCACTATCGCAGTCAGCGGCAGCGCCCGCCTGGAGCGCCGAGGGCTAGCGGGCCCGGGGCTGCTACCGAGTCGCTTTTGGTCAGCCTCATTAGAGGGTACCCTGTATCTACTAGTCACTCTCGATTAGCTTGCGAACGTTGAAACTAGGTACAGTACACAAGATACCTGAGGCTCTTGCATGCATGATCCTCGATTACATAGTCCCTGATCTCCGTCGAAGCCAACGCTCCTTCAGGTGTCACCACCTACTACCGGAAAGACATCGGATCGTCACCCAAGGAGGTAAAAGGTAGAAGATAGGTGGTATTAGACACGTCTGAGAACTGAGGCAATATAGTAGGTGTGACCTGGAGCCTTATGCAGGCTAACCCTATATAGCATAGCTTACCAGGTACCTAGCTTGGTGGGGTGTTGAGGAAGCCTTCGTCCATAGAAATCTACATCTTCTTCTACCCACTACGAAGGGGTTTCTGATCCTTGTTCTTTAATATGCTACCAGCACAAGATGCAAGCGGGAGTTCTCCGGTAGAATATTACAGGAGCGCTAGAGAGATTAAGCAAGAGGCAACCATCCCACCGACTTCACCAGCCTAGTCATGCAAGATCCTCATCCTGGGAGTTCCCACTGCCAGTAACCACTTCCAGCAGGTCGGAAAAACGCCTCTTGATAGACACTGCCATTTGCATGAAAGGGTCACCTTGTTGATAGCCGTCTCCTTGGGGAAAAGCACGCGACCTAGGCCGTAGCATGCAACAGAAGAACAGAGATGAACAGAGCTTGTTCATCGTTAGCAAATAATGGGAGAATACTGTAATGTTCCAAACCGTATCTATGCAATGCGAGTGTAACCGAGAACGGTGACGACATCTATATGCGCACCACACCCACCGTATATAAGCCTACATGTACCTATCATTATTGTCGTCACGCTATCCGTTACATGGGATTTAGGTACTTGAAACTTTCACACCAAAGGACAAAGTCGATAAACCAAGGTAGGTGTCCCGGACTATCCTCCTAGTGTCCACGAGCTAATCTATATCTCAGAGCTAATGGGCACCCCTCCTTCTATCTTGAGCGATGCCTAGACAAAGTACTTGTCATGTCTACTACGTAGCATGAGCTCCATCCTTCTTTTCCTTGCTCACGAGTACCGACGACCAACACACACACACACGGTAGTTCCTGTTGCACCTTGGCTGCAAGCTGATAAGCTCTCACGTGCATCCACCTCGAATTAAGACAAGACTGCTGTATGCAGGTCAGCTTCCTGCTCTGGAAGTGACCTCAGCACCTGCCACCTGCTTCTCCATGCGACCTGGACCACCACATCTCCTTCCTCATGGGGAGGAGATGTCTGCTGCACTTGTTGATAAGGTATCTGTGAAAAAAGAACGGTTGGACCTGCAGGTCGTGATGCATTCGAAAAACTTGTTCTTAAAGAGGCCCCTCACCTTCTCAGATCTTTCCCATCAGGTGAAATCAACAGCTTGCTCTCACTATGCGTTTTACTCTCCTCACCCTCGGGGCTTTGGTGGCCAGCGTCATTGCTGCCCCCTCATCCACACATGTCCTGCATGAGAAGCGTAGTACTTTGCCCTTCGGTTGGGAAAGACACAACAAGCTCCCCAGCCATGAGATATTGCCCATGCGGATCGGACTCAAGCAAAGCAACTTGGATAAAGCCGAAGATTTCCTCATGGAAGTGTCCCATCCCAGCTCACCAAAATACGGGCAACATTGGTCCGCAAAGAAGGTTGCCGAGACCTTTGCACCCAGCCGGGAATCTTTTGATGCGGTAACTGTGTGGTTGAAGAGCTCTGGCATTTCTTCTGAGCGAATTTCCAGGTCTCAGTCCATGGGATGGTTGACTTTCGATGCTACCGTCGCCGAGGCCGAGAATCTGCTGAAGACGGAATTCTTCATGCACAAGCATACCACTGGCAAACCCCATGTCGGTTGCAAGGACTATTCCATCCCCGAATTTGTCCAGCCTCATGTCGACTTTATCACGCCCACTGTCCACTTTGACACGAAAATCCCTCAAGGTAGACACATGGAGAAGCGAGATATGCCCCTCGAGAAACGAGTTCCACCGACGATTGCTGCTGCAGGAGTGCCGGTAGAATCCAAGGCCGCCGTGCACAAGATCACAGACCCTAGTGGTGGCTATCTTCCTAAGAAGGGAGCTGATATCAACATTCAGAGTATCATCACAGAACTTGAAACCTGTGACGAATTCATCGTGCCTGATTGCTTGCGTGCGCTCTACAGCTTCCCTCCCAACTTTGCTGCAAATTCTAAAAACAGCTTTGGGTATGTGAATTTACTATCTGAACACACTTAAATATTGCTAACCAGACATCTTTCTCAGCATCGTTGAATACACACCGGAAGCCTATCTTCAGGGCGATCTGGATCTCTTCTTTGCCAACTTTTCCAAGAACCAAGTCCAGAAGACTCCTACTTTCGATTCCATCGATGGTGGTGTCCTGCAGACGACGGAGGAAAGCTTCGAATACAACGGCGAGTCGGACCTGGATCTTGAGTATGCCATGACTCTGGTCAATCCCCAGCCCGTCACACTGTATCAAGCGGGAGACTTGATTGAGGGTGCTTCTTTCAACAACTTCCTCGACGCCATCGACGGCTCATACTGTACCTACGAGGGAGGAGATGATCCAACTCAGGACGCTGTCTATCCTGATCCCTTCGGTGGCTACGAAGGCCCCGAGAATTGTGGTGGCTTTGCCGCGACGAAGGTTATCTCGACTTCGTACGCCTACAATGAAGCAGACTTGACCGCGTTCTATGAGATGCGCCAATGCAACGAGTACATGAAGCTTGGTCTTCAAGGAACTACTTTTTTCTACTCCTCTGGAGACTACGGCGTTGCCGGAAACGGTGGTCAATGCATCGCCGCCAACGGCAGCTACAACGATGGCACCTCCGGCAGGTTCAATCCATCCTTCCCAGGAACATGCCCCTACATTACATCAGTCGGAGCCACACAAATCAAGCCCGGCGCCTCGGTCACCCAGCCGGAAGAAGCCTGTGAAACAGTCATCTTCTCCGGCGGCGGCTTCTCCAACGTCTTCCCTCTTCCCTCTTACCAAGCGGCAGCAGTGAAGTCATTCTTTGCCAATCACCCACCTCCATACACCTCCGCTCAGTATAACAATTCTCAGCAGACTCGAGGTTTTCCCGATATATCCGCCAACGGCGCGAACTACGTGATTGCAGTCGACGGCACCTTTTCCCTTGTCTACGGCACCTCTGCATCTTCGCCTGTGGCTGCGTCCATTTTCACCCTCGTCAATGAGGCTAGGCTTGCAATTGGAAAGAGCTCCGTCGGTTTCATCAATCCTGTCCTTTACGCTCATCCTGGGGATCTGAATGATATCACGAGTGGAGGAAATATGGGGTGTGGGACTCCGGGATTTACAGCAACAACGGGGTGGGATCCAGTGACGGGGCTGGGAACTCCGAATTTCCCTAAGCTGGTAGCTACGTTTCTGCGATTGTGAGAGGACCGTTACGGGAATATGGGCCAAGAGCCTTGGATATTGGAGATCAGAAGCTAGTATATAAGGGAATGGCAATACAACATGATTCCCAAAGCTTTATCATTCAATTTGAAGCCCAGCGTGTAACATCTAAACACAGAACCCTCTCCGTAGTTACTATGCCTTTCGACACACGTTTTGAATTTCGTTTTCTTGGCGTGTCCCTCGGTAGGGCTGAGACTAGGGTCCAAAGAGACTTAAAACTTTTCCGCAGATCCAATCTTCGACCTCAAATCCATCAGACTCCTTTCAATCCTCTCCAAGCAGACCATCTCCAACCTGCACTTGTCTTTGTACTTTGTAATCACAATGTAGGTCCTAAACCCTTCACCCACCTGGCGAATGCTAATGCTCCAATCCAAGGCTCTGCCTCCGTCGAACAGCGCTGCGCGTGCTCTCTTCCTCTCCCTCTGTATCCATCTCGATACCAGCAAGCAAAGCGCGATCAATTACACATCTCGCATACCCAGTCTCCTTCAGAAAATCCCAGGGTGCAGCCTTTCTGCCCCTCCAGCGAAGACACTACGCCGACGAACCAGCTACACAATCCGAGCCCGAAGCAGATGGAGCAACCGAAGCCCAACATGGCGACAACTCGATAGCTGCCTCTGCAGACGCCGATGCTGATGCCAACACTTTCACACCCGCTGAACAAGCCGAAGAAAGGGCCGCTGCATCAGAGGTCAACTCCGCAACCGAGGAAGCTACCGAGCAAGCCTCCTCTACCGCCGGTTCAGTGAAATCCGCCGCGCAAACAGCTGGGAAAGCCGTTACTGGTGCTGCGCAAAGTCTTGGTGCTGCTGCCGGATTTGGGTCGCAGGGATCGGAAGCTGGCAGTGACGCTCCACCTGCAGAGACGTCTAAAACGGTATATGTGGGGAATATATTCTTTGATGTGAGGAGCGAGGACTTGAAGAAGGAATTTGAGAGGGCGGGACCGGTGGTTGATGTGAAGATTATAATGGATCCGAGAGGTTTGAGTAAAGGGTTCGTTACCGTCTTCCCTGCCTTCTTTCAGATGTCCCTGCACATAAATCCACTTGCACTTAAATGGCAGTTGCTAATATTGTGCCTGGTTGACATAGATTCGGCTACGTCAACTTCGAAACCGTCGAAGCCGCCCAGCGCGCCATCGAACTCTTCAACATGCAAAACTATGAAGGCCGCCGTCTCTCCGTCCAATTTTCGCTCTCCCGCACATCTATCCCTCCCCCACGCACGCCTTACGCAAACCCGGCGGATCGCCCAATGCACCCTCCCACCAAGACTCTCTTCGTAGGAAACATGTCCTTCGATATGAGTGATCGCGACTTGAATAGTCTATTTAGAGAGATCAAGAATGTGATTGATGTGAGGGTAGCAATTGATAGGAGGACGGGACAGCCTAGAGGCTTTGCGCATGCGGATTTCACGGATGTAGAGAGTGCGGAGAGGGCCATGAAGGAGTTGTCAGGCAAAGTGGTCTGTGGGAGACCCTTGAGAATTGATTTCTCGCTGAGTGCGGGAAGGGCGGCTGTTGGCGGTTCGTAAGTCTGGGGTAGAAAATGATGGTGGATGAGGAGGTTGTGCTTTGTGGGGATGCATGTGTGGAAGGGAGGTGGAGAGCTGTGAGATCGAATCGGGTGTGCAATGGTTCGTTTCTTCGTGTACTTGACAAATTATCGATACAAGGATTAATTTCGAGAGCTTTGTTGTACACTATGCATAGCTAAAAGGGAACACTCAATCATCTCACCTCACGGTTCCTTTCAAGGTTTTCGGCCTGCCGCTCTTGACGCTTTTCTTTCTCAAGAGAGGAGGTACTTCAGTATCGTTGGAAGACGCTTGACAGCTTGCAAGCCACGGGCATTCCGCGCCCAACACGAGAAGACCGTTCGTTCCCCTCTCAAACCTGTCAAGGTACCAGTAACTATCGCTCAGGGATCTTCTGAGTATTTAGTAGCATTCGTCCACTCATCATTCCTCTCTATCACGCGTTCGCCTTTCGGGTATCTCAAGTCGCAGTAACAGCACTAATCTCACTCAAAGGACTACTACTCTCACTCCTCCCTGCCCCCAGCTCATTCACCCCAGTCCCCACCTCTACCACCCCGTCCCCTTTCCTCCTAAACCTCTCCGCCCAATCCCCCAGCTCCTCCACCCCCTCCCACCCCTCAATCTTCACCCCGCCCTCCCTCTCCTTTTCCCTCCCCAAAGCCGTCCCAGCCCACCGACTCTCCTCTCCATCTCTCGTCTTCGCATGTTTCTTCTTAAGCTGGGTCAGAAAATCCTCCGGTCTCTCCACCAACACCGTCTCGGCCGCAGCTTTCCCCGCCAATGCTGCATTCGCACTCAGGTCAACCGTGGCTGTAGACGGCTCAGGCGCTAAGCCAGCAATGCGCCGGATTTCCAGCGCGCTGGGCCCCGTGCACCACGATATGAAAGCTTCAATGCCGCGCATGTCCTCTTCGCCGCGGACTTGTTCTTCCATTGTGCTCAATTGCGGATAGAGAGCGCCTGCGTCTTGGAGGGCTAGGCGGACGTCTGTGATTGTGATTGTGTCTGGGGGTTGGTGTGGCTGGGACGGGTGTCGTAGGAGGGCATGGCGGGCTGTGTGTGAGGCGAGGATGGTCAGGTAACGAGAGGCGAGATCGACGAGGGTGTCGAGGACGGAGGGGCGTGTGGAGGTGAAGCCGGCGGCGCGGAGGATGTGGAGGATTGGGGGGCGAAGGAGGGAGGGGTGGAGGGGGTTGGTTGACATTGCTGGTTACGTTGTGGTCGTGTGTTTAGAGGGTGGGCGGTGCTTTTGAGGTGGGAGGTTTGTTGGCTGCCATGGCGGGATACAGCTCTACTATCGTAGCATATTTGTGGTGTGGGGGTGGTGAAATTGTGATCAAGATGACCTGGATGTTACTTGCTTGAATCGCTAGAGCTTTTGTGAGGGTTGGCCCGCATTCTTCAATTACGACTCACTTCCTTCCTCCAGGCTCTACAACACGATGGGGCGTTTTCTTGACAGTGCCTACTACTTCTAACAATTCGCTGATAACGTCAACATCATATCCTCAACTCCATAATGTCGCAGCGTCCATCTCTTAAACTCAAATTCGGCAGCTCCGTTCCCAAACCAGAGGCCTCCCCAACACCTCAATCAGCAGCAACAAGCACTCCCAAGCTAAAGCTCAAGTTCGGCAGTATTTCCCATACTCCAGCTCCGCAAATTACCCCCAACGAGCCTACCTCCAGCTTTGCCTCCACCGGCTCTAAGACCGCCGCCAAAACCCCCCGCAAGTCCAAACCAACCCCCAAGAAGCGCGCTCTCGAGGTCGAGGACGACGACGATGCAGGCGGGGAAAAGCCTCAATTGGCGCCCGGCCCAGCCATCAAGAAAATCAAGCTCAACACCCGCGCCCCTGTCGCTCCTCTTGTAAAGCTCAAGACCAAAGGAAAGGTCCCAAAGAGACCCAAAGGTGTCGGCTACGACAGCGAAGCCGACGACCGCGAACTCGATCCCACAATCTCTGAGGGCTTCATTCTGCGCATGCAGCCAGGCGAAGACTGCGACATCATAAGAAAGGCGGCTGCGGAGGGCAATTTCGGACGGAAAGCCGGCGGGGCAGATGTACGCATGCGGTTCTTAACCAGCGATGCCCGAAGAGCTGCTGTGAGTGTGAATGGACGCCATTATGCGGCCGTGCTGGTGGATTTGCCATGCGTGATTGAGGCGATGAAAAATTGGGAGAAGAGGGGGCCGTGGATGAAGAGTATGGATGTGTGCCAGATGCTTATTGTGATGGGGCAGATTAAGGAGGAGGAAGATGCGTTGCTGTATCCTATTCCGCGCGGTAAAGGGGAGCTGAATGGGAGAGGAGAGCTGGATGAGAAGACGTTGCAGTGGGCTAGTGGGATCACGCCGCCATTGCACAAAGTGCGGACGAAGCGGTTCAGGAAGAGGATCAGCGTGCGGGATGTTATGGAGGTTGAGGCGGAGGTGGAAGCTTTGCTACGGCAAGATGAGGAGGCGGATGGGGAACCATTGCTTGAGCTTGTTGATGAAAATGAATTGCGTGAGAGGAGGGACAGGGAGAACGGAGAAAGTGATGAAGTCTCCGACAACGAAGAAGACGCAGAGGGCGAGGACTACGATGATGAGCAAGAAGGATACATCAAGACGACAGTCGGAGGTCACGACGCAGATCACGACGCCATGGCCGAAGAACTCGAAGCAGCCATGGAACTCGAGGCCGCCATGGCCGCATCCGGCGATGCTGCCCTCCCCTCCGCCCCACCTCCAGACACAGCAACCCAAGACGGAACATCCACCCCCGCCTCTCCTTCCGCCAACCTCCCCACCCTTTCCGCAGCAGACACCCCCGGTGCCGCCACCACCTCGGCGGACGAAGCCTCCGACGAAGACGACGACTCGACCGATGCGTCTGTCGACGAGGATGCGTTGGAACGGCAGCAGGAGAGACAGAGGCAGAGGGAGGAGATTGCGGATCTGGAAGCCGCGATTCGGCAGGAGCAGACGAAGGCGGACTCGATTGGGAATGCCTTGCTCAAGAAGAAGTTGCTGGATAAGATTCGCAGTTTGCAGGGGGACTTGGATTTGAAGGTTGCGGCTTTGGGGGAGTAGGAGAGAGATAGGGTTTTGGTACGAAAGGGGTTGGCGATGTTTAGATCGTACTGTGCAGGCTAATTATTGCAGTCTGCGAAGCTTAGAAAATAGCATTAAAAGGTCCTTTGCCCGGCTAACATCAAAGGCTATCCATCAATTTTCCCTTCCATGCTCTCTTGCTCCCTCCTACATCCCGTCCACAACCCTGCCTATCCTCATTGAACGCCCAACTCCCCCCGCAACACCGCAACCACACTCGGCGCCGGACTCGGCGCCGCCCCTATCCCCGCCGTCGCGGCAACATCCCCCGCCAACACCGCCTGGTCCTCCACCGCTCCCAGCACCCCCGAGGAATTGAGCGCCACACCCTCGACGCCGAAACCCCTCGGATTGAACGGGTTGACCCCGAGCCCGGTGATCATGTACCTGTTCAGCACGTCCTCGAACGGGGAGCCTGATTCGTAGAGGTAGAGGGAGAGGTAGGGCGTCTGCGTGTGGTCTGCCCACGGCGAGACGGAAAGCTGGGAGTCAGCACATGCATGCCCCGTCGTTCCTCCACGTGGCAATGTGGGAAAGATGGGTTTCGTGAAATAGGGGACGGGGTCGGGGTATCGACGACGCGGGTGATGGAATGGATAGGGAGGTTGGGAGAAGAAGGGGGAGAGGACGGTACCGGAGATGATCCACACGCCGCCAACGCCCCGCTGGCCGCGGACGCAATACTGCAGCACGCCAGCTGCGGCGGTTTGGATGAGACGCCAGTTCGAATTGACGCTGGGAGTGGCGACTTGGCCGGCTGCGTCGGCGTAGAAGAGGAGGGCGATGCGTGCGGATCCTGTTCACACCCGTTCCGTCAATAAATAGCATTCTGGAGCTCCCTACAGTCAAGATCTGGCTCGCTTGAGTGAAGGGGGTTCGAGAGGAGAGGATGAGCGACGTACGGAATCGCCACACCCGAGGCAATTGTTCGATGGCCGATCTCCATGTATTCCGCAGTCCTTGGAACTTTGGGGTGAAGAATGCCGGTTCGGCGAACATGCGCGGGGCGTCCATTTGGTCGTAGGGGTCTACTTTGACGTAGGGGAGGTTGTTACGGATTGTCATTGCGTCGGCGAGGCGGGGTTTGCCGTAGAGGTTTTCGGCGCAGAGGATGGAGGCGGATTGGATGGGGAGAGGGAGGGCGGAGAGAGCGAGGAGAGTGGTGGGGAGGAGCGAGGGGAGGAGCGAGAAGAGGAGCATAGCTGACACAGGCCGGAAATCGATAGAGCAACCTGCAAGACCATTGCGAGTGATGAGATGGGATGCTCATATAAGGAGCCAGCGCCTGTGACGATACCCCACGCGTAGCTTCCGGGAATATATCGCTTGCTGGTGGGGATCCCGGGGGGCAACGCGCAGTCCAGACCGTCGAGAGCTTGTTATCTTTTTGTGGTTACAAGTAGGGTAGAAGAACCGATCTTGATGGTCAGGTACCTCGATATGGCGTGCGATTGTCGGGAGTGTGACTTGTGTAGTTTCGAGTTAATTGTCAGAAGCGCCGCCTATCGCCATCCTTTATGCGTTCCCCACAGCGTCCTTGGGGTTTGCGGCATATGAAAACCGCGTGGCAGAATTCGAAAAGTTTGACATGGGCATCCGATAGTCGGGAATAGTCGAATAAGTCGCAATGCGCGAGTTTCTCCCCTCAAGGTGTGTTATTAGACATCATCTCCCCACTCTTTAAATTCATCCTGACAATGCTACACTGCCTAGTATGGGCTTTTTCTCTCCTCTCCGTCTCTCTTACCAGTTCTGTATCCGTGAGTTCTCCAGATAACACCGGAGAGTATTACTGTGGCCGACAGACTTATGGCTCGCCGAACATCGTTGATTGCCATCCTCTCCTGGAGTCGTTCGCGAACTACCAAGACAATGTCCACCGCGTTTTCGACGAGGAGCAGATGAGAGCAGATGAAACAGGCTCCTGGCCTGGTGTGATTGGCATCGTGGGAGCAGCTCATCTCAGTTGGGTTGTCCAGGTACCTAGGTATTATACATCGAGTATGTATGACCGGCCGAGAAGTACATCGTAGAGGAGAGATGGGGTCGACGTGCTGACAATGCCTGAAACCTAGACTCGTGCAACTTCGCACTCCTGAGCTATGCTTCAGGATATGGCTCTATCAATGCTCTGGGCGGGACAAGCTGGGCGAAGATTAACGCTGGAGGGAACTTCATGATGACGAAGTGTCTGCTCAATGGGCCGTTGGGGTCTGGAGGGGTGGTCGTGATACCGAGCAGTGAGGAGTTCTGGGGTCATTCCTGGACAGTGTTACAACACTGACAATCATCTGCTTACAGCGGAGCAGCCCAAGCAGTCCGTCCTCAGTCTATTCATGTGGGAATCCGGATCACCATTTGACACGATCATGAATTCCTTTTCTAATCAGCCAGCGGGGATGATCCCAGCACCTGGTGATGTTTGGGCTTCGAATTGGACGTCGTTGAATTCTACGGGTGTGCCGCCAATCATGCTGAGAGCGTTCCATGCAGCTCTCGCGGATAAGGGCGAAGTCCAATCTTGACATTAAACCGAAAATTCGAGAAATAGAGTAGAAAAGTAATGACTTTCTCGGTTTGTCAGAGGTTGGACAGTGGGACAAGGGAAGCCAGCAGATGGGAACGCACGCGGGGGAGCAACAGCATGTTTTAGAATCACCGTGAATATCACTTTGAAGCCATAAAAAAATGCACGTACTTTACAAAATTGCAGAGCCTGCAGCATACCGCCATACGTGTAAATGCCAGAGGCTAGCCCAGGAAAATAGGGCACAAGATATATATACCAACCTCAGTCCCAGCTCGTCGGGTGGAAACGTCTCCCACGACGCCGGGGCAATACGCAGTGGCGAGTCTTATGCTCCCGTGGGCCCTAGACCAAAGCACCCGGCGCAAATATTTTTCTGTAGCATTCCCTTGCCATCTTCAACGAGATCCCTAAAAGCAACGGCACGTCGCCGTCTGTAAACAGACTCATTAGTGGCGCTGGAGTATAAAATCATTTTCACTTTCCCCTAGCCGAGAACATACTCATGGCGCAAGATCGGGCTATCCTCTTGGAAACGAATGTAGACTTCGATGTCAGATCTGGCTATGGCAAAAACCCTGATGATGTCTGTTTTTAGAGGTTGATGAAATAACGCAGGCTGCGGCAGACAGTCGAGATTGATATCCGTGACGGGGACGGGAAAAGAAACGGGGAGCGGGGCGAGGTTCAAGCTGTCTGATGTGGGTTTAACCGTTGTTAGTTCCATATCATTCGGTACAAGTGCGAGGCGTAAGAGAGCTATGAGCGGAAGGAGAGTTGATAGAAGGAGAACGATGATTGTGAGAAGAAATTTGAGAGTGACTGCTGTTGCTATTGGCCGTTATTGAGGAAGGGTTGACAACAAAGCTCCACGAGGAAGACTGCTCGATTCGGCATGTGATAAGAGCTCAGTGTGCGAGTAAAACCCATCACTTCTTCCCCGGGATGTCGCTTTTACGGCTCTAACCTCTGGTATGGCTTTGGGTTGTAGAGAACGTATTGTCAACAGAGAATTTGACGATAATTGAATCCTGGAGAGCCCAGTCGCTAGATGGATGGTTGCCGAGTATGTGTTCAGTCCATTGAATAAGATTAAGCAGATTTTCATGGCATCTTTCGCGGAGCCTATCGCTGTTGCTCCATTCTCCGCCCTCTTCAGATCTGTGAACGAGGTTACCTAATCAGCGACGCTATCGATCCAGATCATATTTGTGTCTCTGTCACATCATTGCGCTAAGGCAGAGAGTGCTCAATAGCGACTGTCACACCACGATTTTGGTCGCTCCACGATCGAGGTTGGTGCTAGTTATTGACCATCATCAGTCGCGGTTCTTGCCAATTGAGCTCGCTTCATTAAATGTTTTTGGAGCGGTAGGGCTAGAGGAACGAAAAGGTACCTACTTGCCTACATACCTATTTTAAAACCGGAACAACTGTTATCCCGTTCCGATAATTTACAATTGATTTACTTGTCCGTTAAACAACCCGATCGATACAAAAGGTTCGCTGACAACACTCTGCAAGCCATCTCCTGTGATCTTCCTTTGGACAGGACCCGCCAAATCAACATGTCATTCTGGAATAGACTCCAGAAGTCCTTCCCTCGAACCGGGAATTCGCCGAAGGCAGAGAACCTAGCTGCAAGTCTTGTTGAAGCCGTCGTCTCTGTCGGTCTCCTTTGGAGTCTACGTCAATGGTTTCCCGAGCCAATGGAAAAAGAGAAGACATTTAAGGAACTCCACCGGCCTAGGACTGTCTCTTAAGCAGAGATGATGATGTACCAGAAGAGCTGCATCGAAGAACTAGCAGTCAGCACGCTGTGCATAGTCCGAGTCAGATGCTCTCTCCAATTCTCGGGCTTAGTCCTTGACCGCTACACTACAAGGTCGAGGCATGGGCATACAGGTAACGGCGTTGGAAACGGTCAGATCAATCGATTCTTGCAGCCATCTCTCGCATGAAGCACCAAGCCCAATAGCTGCCATCTATAAACAAAACACTTATAGCGATCTTGTGAAGACGGTTTGGAAGACTGTTGAGTCCCGAGATTTTGAAGACTACACTCAGGGCCTGACTACGCGCCGAACCTACTTCTGGTGAAACGGATGATAGGATCGGAAGATACTTCAAGGCTGTATCACAACCCGCTACCTTGAGGGGTGCCGGGCGGAATGGCTGCACTGTCAGCAGCAATTTGAACCTCTAGCAGCGATTAGCGTGCTCTATGACCCCACCAAGGTGAGGGTTTTGCCTTAACCGCTCCCTTCTATCCTCAAGACCTCCAGCATTCTGCAGTCCAGGTGTTACCAACTTGGACTCTATTGTCTGCATCATGTCTTCTTCTACCCGCAGGGGCCACACGAAGTCCAGGAAAGGCTGCCAGACTTGCAAGAATCGCAAGGTTCGCTGCGATGAATACTTTCCTCAGTGGTCCGCGTTCTTCCTCTTCGAGCTCCCGTGTCTATTTTTGATTGGTTCTACTAGCCGCAGTTGCACGAAGCGTGGTCTAAGATGCGCCTACATGGATAATCTTGCTGCTGTAGAAAATGCCTCACCGGTATCGACTATTGGAGAGTTCACTTGGCCGATTGAAATTGAAATCGGCACATATGATTGGCAGCAGACGAAAAGATTTCCCTTCCCTCACATGCAGGTCACTGCTCCGCCAAATCCTGACGACCTCTCAACCGAAGAATGCCGCCTACTGTTCCATCTGTGCACCATGTCGGAAAACCTCGAGCTTTCCAAATCTGCGAGATTCACTACTTGGGCGCACAAGATGTCAGAGTACGCTGCCCTTTACCTATGTTGACTGCGAATTGAGGCGACCTTACACAATGAATACCAGCTTTGTATCACTCGCTACAAGACATGACTACGCAATGCAATCATTGGTTGCACTCTCGGCTACTCATCTCGCCAGCATCTGCAAATCGGCTGCCTTGGCCCGAATAGCACTCGTTCATCGAGGCATGCGTTCAGCTTAGTGAGGCTGTTGGGACGCTCGTCCAAGAGAATTCCGACGCTGTGCTTGCAGCATCTGCTCAGCTTTCTTGGCAAACGCCGTGTTGGTAGGTCTCCCAAAGATTGGATCGATATTGGAGGCTTGGAAAACTTCGCTGACTCACATGTGGTTGTTGCAGGCAGGCTTGGGCTGGCTTGATGCAAGGAATCAATACTGTGAGATTAGCCAGTATACTCTTGGACCACAGCTAATCTCGAGGAGCTCCATGCAACTCTTCAAGAATGGAAAGCACAGTCTTGCTTCCCGGAATTTCTTGGTGACAACTTTTATGAGCTCGGAATCATACCGGCCTATCGAAGCGAGGTCCCTGGGCACGAGGAATTAGGTTTATTGGAAGGGTCGATCTTGTCACTGGAACGCGCCATGGCCTTTGCTGTCGATAGCGAAGACCAAGTGAACTCGTTGCGCCAATTACTCGTCTCCGTCCAGAACCTTCGAATATCGCCTCCCGGCCCTAATCCTCGGGATCAGTTCAAGGTGTTGCATCCGCTCCGGGCATGGATAAAATGGGCTCCCTGTCTCTTTCCTCAACGTAGCAGATCGAAGCCTTCAGACTATGACCACTTTGGCTCATTTTTATGCTGTGACATTGGCGCTTCAGCTGCACCTTCCGAGTCCAGGCCTTGCATACTACCCTAAGATGCGTATGGAGGCTATTGAGTCATTGGCGGTGGAGATCAAAGAATTGAAACAGACCATTAACTTGAAAGGCGTTGACAACGTAAAAGAGTTGATGGGATTTCCTTGCGAAATTGCAACCCAATTTCGGAGTCGATTGCAAATGGCAGAACAAGCTCACGGTACAATGAATATCCTGACAGGGGGAACCATGTCCATGGCTGACAGTCTTGCACTTGCTGCCACAATCGACGTTGAAGGGTCGACATGAGTATCCCGAGGATATCGCTGTTGCTCATCAACCAGTATAGAGTCCAACACCAGCTCTTCGAGGCGCATAACGCGATGCATGTTACATATGTATACCAGCTTCACTAGCAAACACTGACAAAATGCCTAAATGCTAGTGGAAGAAGTTGGTAGAATAGACATGAATTGCGCGTTCTGTCTCGTCTATGAGAATATGGCCATTTCTCGCGCTAAGCCTTTATTTCTTAGCGTTCTTCTGGTCAATCATTTTACCAAGCGCCTTCAATGCTTCTGGGGCATCTCACTCGTCCAGAAATATCTCTATGATCTAAGAAACAGCGTCTTAGCACCTCAAAACCGTTACAGTACAAGAGTGCCTCAACGTGTAAGGTATTGCGGGGACTTACCTGGGCACACGAGGCTTCGTCAAGAGTCTTTTCCCTCAAAAGATCGTCCCATTCCTTGCATGTTCGCACCTGGTACGCCTTGTTCTTGTACCCTACTTCGAACGCATCGAGCAATTCACCATACTTCCACATCGGAACGTGGTTATAATCCTCGCGCGGGCGGTGGATGATGCGTTCAATCGTGTATCCGCCATTGTTCAAGATGAAAAGTATGGGTTCAGGTCATGCCGTAATAGGTCAGAGAAAGCCTACCAAGGGAGTGATGCATGATCTTGTGAGCCTTCATGGTCTCCACGGACGGATAACCTACGATATGCAACACTGGCACATATTCGCAATAAGCTCCAGCAATGCTACAAAGGGCAGAGCGCTCGCCAGGACCGTATGTTGTCACGAGGGCGCCAATGCCGTTGCTAATGCGAGAATAGCCGTCTGCAGCATATGCAGCATTCAAGTCGTTGGGGCTTCCCTTCCACTCAAGACCAGCGTTAGGGATGAGGTCGAGAAGGGCGAGTTCATAGTCTGAAGCATGGTCACATCCTTTGACGCGAAGAATCATGTGAGACGGATTACCTCCAGGTACCCCGAAGATGGATTTGAGGCCAAGCTGGCGCTGCCTTTACATGACATAGCTACCGACAAGGGTATCTCCGGAGATCTTGACTCCTCCTTGCTGCAAAAGCAATCCACGGCTTGAACGAAATAGTACTGCTATCTCTCTGGAAGGCTTGACGAGCCGATGGACGACAGGTACTGCAGACGAACCTTGCCTTTATCTTGAGTACTCAGGAATGTCCTTACCTCGACCCCACCGACTCCCCACCTTCATGCACGGCCGAACCCAACACGCACAGTGCCGGCCCATTTAATCTGCAGGATGGAGTCATTCAGGCTCCCCTTCGATATCTACTTCTCTCAAGGCTCATCTCGCTAGACTGGATCAAGTCAATTTTTCGAATACGAAAGACGCTAGGGCAGTTTAGCTCCAACGCTTGGCGCGCACCGACGCGCTGTTCACTGCGTGGTGCTGACTACGACAGGTCATGACTGGCTGGACGAATGCAAATATTGCGAGGTGTGGCCGAGGATGGCAAGGAAAGGACTCCAATTGCTGCATTGTTGTCCTCTCAAACCTCTGCAGGGACTTACAGGGCTGCCTTTTGCTGGTCGAGACACACAAGCTAGCCTAAAAAAGCACCTGCCCTCTGCGGGCTTGGTCATGCATCTGACAGCACATCCCCGCTTCCCCCATCTTCCAAAGTCTGCCTTCTACCCGTCGCCATCCAGACATCCGACACGACCACACCATACTTACACTAGCCAAGGTACAATCATCTCGCTACCTCGCCCTGCTCGAACAGCGAGGACCCGGAAAAACACGATGGACTGCTACAGGTGCCGCCGGATGAGTGTGCGCAAACCTCAGCACAAGCAAGACGGACCTTCTAAAATATGCTTGCTCTGCAACAACCGATTTTGCGAGAAGCACAAGGGAGGAGATGAGGGCGTGTGCGAGGTGAATCATGACACGTACTGCAGCAAGACGGAGCATCAGGAACTACACGCGCCGGTTGAGATCTATACTACACTAGCGGAGAGGCGGGAAAGGTTGGGTGGTGTCTAGCTGCAATGCTTGGGTAGGAGGATACGTGTGTGGACGGTATGGCTAGATGTCGCCCATGGAAGTCCTGCGAGCACCTGCTGACGAGCACTCGAACAGCAGTGAGCTTTTCACGCTGCGGAGTTGCTTCACCAACCCATGGGAATCTGGGTAGGACAAGTCGTCCGAGGAATGGATAGGATGCTGCGTTATGATAAACTTGACCTGGAATCCCATTCGAGTACTCGCTCAAACCACGCTCCCCCCCTGTTCCCCCTCCTCTCTTACCGACTGCTGTTCTCCATGACGCATACTCTACCCTAGCTGCTCTACACATCCCCTCACTCCAGTCCTTTGAGAAAAAAACCTCCCTCTCTTCATCCGTCCCACTTATCCAGTACGCACAAAACCCCGGGCATTCTCAACTTCCCAACATATCCCTCAGTCACCACCCCAAGCTCGCACTGCCAAGCTCTCCAACCGCCCGTAGCGGCAAACAGACCGAAATCATCAAGCCCCCGCCCCCTTCCTTCCATGATAATTCCCCAACTCGTGTCCTGACATCGCCAAGCCCCCACCGTCAACGAGCGGTCCGACACTCGCCGTGGTATGCGTCCGGAAAGAGAAGACGGTCGTGCCGCCCTGGCGAAACGTGGCGTCGAAAGGATAAGTCTTGCAAAGGATCATCCGCCGAGAAAGACGGATTTCCGGTCCTGGAGAGCAGTGAGAAGATCTGTCAAAGCGGGCGATGGGTATGTACATGGCTTCAAACGATGAAGGGTCAGTCTCATTCCTACTCCATTCCCATCCCGATCTATCCACCCTTTCTTCAAACCAACCCCTCCACCAACACCTTTCCCCCCTGCCCTCCCCCGGTAAAGTCCACCACCCACACCCCCCGACTCCTACTTCCACCCACCACCTCAACCCGACCTCCACCCAATCCCTCCCCCGCCAGTCCATCCAGCTTACCAACCAACCACACGCCGCACCCAACAAAAACATTCCGGCCCACGATCAGATCAATCCAGAACCAATACCCCGCCTGTGGAGTGGAATGGAATGGAGTGTCGACCTCCTAGCCACACCTGGTGCGAGGGAAAGTCGAAGTCCGAATCCATCTAGAACCGGAGTGCGTTGTTGGGGGCCAGGAAGGAAGAAAGAAAGAGAGAAAGAGACGAGGGATGGACTTTTCATGTATGTGTGTGTACACACACACGAGCACGTACACGGGCACGTACACCCGTATCGATCCAGTGAATGGATGGAATGGAATGGAATGGAATGGAGCCTAGATAAGGATAAGTATGCATACAGCAAAAGAAAACAACAACAACCACAACCACAACTGCGATCCGTACTGGGCGGGTGAGTGAGTGAGCCGCCAAGCACGTTTGCACTTCCTCTCTCGCGTCATCATAACCCGATGGATTTGCCCCCCCCCCTTCCCGCAAACTCTTGGGGAGCTAGCAGGGCAAAGGGGGGGTGCATTGTTAGCATGAGGGTTTGTGGCATCATCGGAAGGGAGCGTCGTAACATTATCGTGGCGTTCGGGCTTTGAGAACCGTGTCTGGGGTTGTATGGAGGTTCGGGGTAGATGTGACCTGTTTTGGGATAGAGGGGTGAGTTGTCATGGAATTGGTGTGTATGGTTTGTATTACGGTGTGATGTTGGCAGCTATGTTAGACTAGATAGGAGAATGTGAAATGGAAAGATGGAGATTAATTGGATTGGGATGAAGGTAACATGTGAATGAATGAATGTGGCTTTGAATGGTGTTTTACAAGCTATAGTTCTCCTGGACTTGTGCGCCTTGGTATACAATTTTGGCCAAGTTGGATGGGCAACCTCCTTATGACGGACTCGCGTTCTTTGGCACTTGGATTTGGAAGACGAGCGCTTGGTTGTCGAGATCGTAGCCGCTAGCGTCTTTGTAGGCATATTTGCCGAAGTTGAGGTGGCCTAGGTACATAGTCAGCCATCTCCTCGAAGCCAGTCTCCTTTCTCTTAATCCAAACGTCCCCTTGATGAGAAAGAAAACCAGGTGGGTGAAAAAGGCAAAAGCACGTACCATCCTGAGTAATAAAGTCGTTGTCACTCAAACTAAACAAGAACCACTCCCCATCCTGCCCATCTTTTCCATCAACAGGCACCGTCGCCAGACTCTCCCATTTCTCATTAAGCAGGGTCGCATCTTGCGCTCCTCCATTATGCAGTCCGAAACGACCAAGCTGGGCATTAACGTTGTAATCCAAGAAGGTACAATACTCCGCTGCTTTGATGCCCGCATCGAGCACGCCCGTGCTTGAGGCGATGCTGCCGTTCGTTGCGTCGTTCGCTGCAGATTCGATATCCGTGGCTTCACCGGAAGATGAGATGTCAAAAATATCTGCGTGGCGGTAGACGCTAAGAGATGAAGACTGCCCGTGTCCAGCGCCTGAGTCGCGCGCAAGGACAAGGAATTGATCGTTGCCCAGGGAGTGGATCTCGGACTGTGCAGCCACTTTGGTTGCCTTTGAAGCTTTGGCAGTTGGATCAGTATAGAGTGGCAAAGTGACAACGTACTCAGCTTTGTACTCTGGGTTGCTGGAGTTGGAAATGTCATATTCGAGCAGTCTCGCCTGGAGACGGTATGGGTTGCTAGGTCCGCCTTCTTGGTCGAGAGCTGATTGCATAAGCGCATACAGCGTCTTCCCATCACTCGATATGGTTAATCCTTCAAGTCCTTGGTTGTTATCTCTTCCCGTCACAGTGTTGGCTGGTATGATGGTCTCATTGATGTTGTAGATCGGTGGTGAGTCAGCACTGAAGCTTATACTGCCATTGCGATGCGGTATGTACGCGGCCGGAGGCATAATGGCTTGTGTCATACGCCCTTGTGCTGAGAAGTGGTATATATACGGCCCGTATTCATCCGACACCCAGAACCCGCCATCGGAAGCGAGGGCAAGGCCTTCGCTGTCAATGGGAATATGTCTCCCGCCGGGACCAGGGCCGCCAAACCCATCACCTGTAAAGGTAGCAACGGGCAGGATTGGGAAGCCGGGATATGTGATCGACCCAAGGACGTCGGCGTCAAGGCCGGTTGTCGGGGTGCCATCGGGACCGGTGAAGAGGATGGTGTCTTCGTAGGTGAATTGGAGGTTTGGTCCAGATGGATTTGCAAGGGTAGCGTTAGGCTTGGGCGTCAGGGTAATGGCGAATTTGTGGACGCGGTTCTGGTAATTGAGAGTTCCTTCCGTGTTCCTACGTCTCCTGTCAGTACTCCTTCAAGTTGCGCGAAAAGGCTCCCCACAACGTACCAACCCCTGTCCGGGATGGCCCACAACAACCCCGTATAGCTCCCATTCTTCAGCTTCTTCCATGAGCTTCGATCAATAGCGATGGCACTACCATAGCCGCCCAGGGTATCGCCGTACTTGTCTGTGGCATTGGAGGCCACGAAGCCGTAGCCAGCGAGCTCTTGGTATGTGTATTGCTCTTTGTCGCAGGTGGTCTGATTGGTGATGGTTTGATTGGCGGCAATAGGGATGTGTGATGCATCAACTCGTTGACGGAGGTCTGAATACCTTGGGGTCGCTGATGCTAAGAGAGTAGAGGAGGCCAGGAGGGCGAGGAAGGAGGGTAAGAGATGCATTTCCGTTCTGTCACGCGAGACGAGAGTCTTGTACTTGAAAGCGGTCTTTGCTGTTGAAAAGCAGGCATAACCTGCGTGCAGAGCTCCATCTTATACTCCTTCATGTCTTTAGCAGTGACGTCGAATTCCACATCTCCATCATCAGTGCCTCGGTGGTGGGTGTAGATCGATGGAGATTTTTGGTGCCTTACAGGCGAGATGGGATGGGACCTGCAGATAGAGGACAAGCGTGCCAGCGCCATCATCCATTTCGAGCTCATTGAAGCCGGTATCCGAGTCCATGTGAAAGAAAGAGGGTGGCAACGGTGGCATCAATTCAACC